CCCAAGGGGCCAGTGGTGGTAGTGCAATGCGTGAGTACCTGCCTAACTTGCAGGAGGCCCTGAGGTCGATCTCCAGCGCTGCAATCAATGATTCAATCAATCGATGCCACCATGAGGTCTGACATTTGAAAGTATGTGATGATCAGCAGGAAGCTGAGACTCTGTGAGCAGTGTCTGTGATGTGCAGCACGGAACTATAATGCTTCAAATCGTTCTCTTGTAGTTTGGCTGGAGGCTGGGACCCCATTTGTATTATTCAAAGTAGATGGCACATTTTTATGATATTAGATCATTAAAGGTATTAAGATTCTCTCCTTTTACCTAAGAAGATGTAGGAGTTCAGTACTCCTACATGCTGCTGGGCACACGACCCAACCTTACCCTCCTAATTTTGACTTCTGTTTCTGTTTCGGTGTGTTTCCCCCCACCTCTCTCTCTCTCACACACACACTCTCGCTCTCTGCCTACCTCTGTCTTACTTTTCTCTTCTCGCTGAGACAAAATACCCGACACCCAAAGTTAAAGGGGGAAAAGTTTACTTAGGTCAGTTTGTAGAGGTTTCAGTGCAGAATCTACTGGCCCCAAAGTAGGGTGGCTTGGCAGAGGGGCATCACAGACAACAGTTTATGGCACCCACAAGGTAGCAAAAGCAGCATAGGACCTTAACAGCATCTTTCTGCTCCTTTTATCTTATCCAGACTACCTAGGGCAAGTAGCACTCCCTTAATCCTAGTGCCCTTGAGCCTAGCATTGCACCATGAATCAGTTCCCACTTCACACACTCTAGATCCAGCCACTCTACAAAAGCCCTGCCTATGGTTATATGAGGCTTTGGGGGGACATCTAGGCACAAGCCGTAACGCTCCCTCTGTCTGTCTGTCTGTCTGTCTCTCTAAAGTGCTGGGGATGGAAACTAGAGCCTTGCATTCCACCAGGGACTTACACCCTCTGCCTCTGGACTTCCGTCAAATGCCCTTGACACTCTTCGGAACTCACCACTGCTCCTTCCCAGCATTTGGCATCCTGGGCCTTTGCCTCCTGTGTGAGTCCATGCTCTGTTTCTGCAACAAAATACCCGCAGCCCAGCACCTAACAAGAGGTTTGCTTGGCTCCTGATTCTGGTGGCTGGTGGGTCCGACGGGCACGGAACCAGCTGTGAGGTTCCCGAGGCTGTGGGTCACGGCAGAGTAGAGAACTGGAAAGGGAAGTAGCGGGTGGAAGAAGCCCACAGGAGGCCTCTGCGCTCTGGGGAGGCCGACCACACTGGAGACCAGCAGGGATCCACTCCTGCAGGCTCAGGCTCAGCCCCTGGGAGGCCGCACCTCTTTAAGGTTCCGCCACTCAGCACCACCACACACGGACCACAGGCCACAGCCAGCTGGCTCCCTTACCCCGTGCCCTGGGCCCTCCTCTCCTTCCTGCTCTGGCAGCTTCCCTCTACCTGCCAATTGCTCCCGAGGCGCCCGCATATACACACACACACACACACACACACACACACACAGGCTCGCAAAACTGGGAGGGAGTCTCAGGATGCACCTCATTCAAAGTAAGCAACCTTTGGGCGGAGCCCTCACTACCTGGACTGAGTCAAATCCACCCACAGGGACAAAATAATGGGGAGGTTCCCAGGGAAACTGCCAGCTAGCTCCTGGCCCCGAGGCAAGGTCAGAACAGGACCACTGTCATCATCGGATGGCCCCATTTTTTTGTTTTCTCCTGACTTGAAAAGATAGGCACCTTCTGGGCTTGCTTGCTGACACATTTTCTCTACACAAACCCTTTTAAACTGGAAGCTCAAGTGGCCCTGCCCGCTGTCCACTTGCCCTGCCCGCTGTCCACTTCCCCTCTCCGCTGTCCACTTGCCCTGTCCGCTGTCCACTTCCCCTGCCCGCTGTCCATTTGCCCTGTCCGCGGTCCACTTCCCCGGCCCGCTGTCCACTTCCCCTGCCCGCTGTCCACTTCCCCGGTCCGCTGTCCACTTCCCCGGTCCGCTGTCCACTTCCCCTGCCCGCTGTCCACTTGCCCTGTCCCCTGAGTCTTCCGGGACCACCGGCGGTCCATGCGGGGCTGGGGCACTGGGGTGGGAAGGGGAGAGGCAGCCAACGTGAGAGCGCGTCCCACTTGACAGTGAGAGTGCGGGCTTTGCCGAGGGGTGCCGCACCCAAGACCCCACTGGCGAAGGAGAACCGCCTAAGGGTGGCTTAATTTCATTTGGCAAAGCAACCGGACCAGACCCTCTGCCAAGGGGCGGGGCTGCCTGGCCGCGCAGCCGCAGTACGGGGCACAGCCCCGCCCCCGACGTCACAGGAGCCCCGCCCCTCGCGCGGAGAGGCGGGAGCG